ATTCGTATAAACACCGTGTTTGTACTTCTGTGCTGTCCAGTTCTGGTTTTGTCCCAACTCCTCATGCTGTGCTTTGACCTTTCCTGACTCCACACTCTCCTCCTATCCATCGTCCTCCAACTGCTGCTCTTTCTTCTCCCTCCCCTCCCCTCCCCCATCCGCTCTCCCCGACCCCCACCCCTTGCCATTCGCCCCTCGCCCCTACCAGGCACTGTTTGGGCTCTTGTTTGCCAAGCAGCGGCGCAGAACAGCCAAGTTCACAGACGCGCGGGTGAAGATGACAGGCGAGGTAGGACGAGTTCGGAATCGACTCACAACACGCATGCCGTTCTCTGTGTGGGGGAAGAAAGGGGGGTTTGTAACGCCTGTGGACTTATACAAAGTGTTCAAAAGGCATGGCTGCGCCTCTGAAGGACCCCCGTTTTAGCGCGTTTCAAAAAACGACTTCCAGGTCTAGGTAACAAGCGAGGTGCCCACTGTGAAGAATGAAGGGAAGGAGGGGAAGGGGATCTCTATATTTCATAGGCTCAAAGTTCACAGATGCCTAGAAGCATTTTGAGTTCCCTCCTCTCTCTGCTATTCTGCCCCTCCTCGCTCTCCCCTCTCCCACTCCTCTTGGCACTTACCCCACACTCGCCCAATGCCGTGCATCATTGTTGCAGGTGCTGGCGGGCATTGTGGCGGTGAAGATGTTCGCGTGGGAGGCGCCTTTCACCCGGCTCATTCAGAGGATCCGCAACCAGGAGTGCAGCAAGTAAGAGTGCAGCAAGTAGCTGCACCCACTGTGCACCGTGCACACATGGCTTCAGACACCGTGCGCTACACACATGGCGCTAGACGGATTGGATGGTATGGTGCTCGTGACAAGAGTAGAGGATCCGCAACCGAGAGCCAAGGAAGTAGGTGCTGCACCTGCCCCTGCGTGCTGGATGCTGTACTTGACCCTTCTTGAATGCCCAGATCTCTCTTAGAAGGGTCAAGACGATGGTGCTTCCCACATGAGTTTAGACCACATGATGCTCTTTACAAGATAGCTAGACGTCAGGAAATATGGGTGGAATTCACTCTATCCAGCCTCGTCCTGCAACTCCTGTTGCATCCCCTTCCACCTTCTCCTTTCGCTTCTATCTCGATTCCCCTGAGTTAAATGTCTCTTTCTCTTGTGTCTGCAAATTCTTTGAGTTGACAAACCTCCTACTCCCTGAACCTTCCCCTCATCCTCCCCCTCACCTTACCTGTTCCCTCTCCTCCATTCCCACCCCCCTTCACTCTCCCCCTTTCCTCACCTCAATTTCTCCCTCTCCTCCCTATCTCCTTGTTCCCCCCCTCTCCGGCCCTTCTCATCACCCCTCCTACCCACATCATCTCGCTCTCTTCCAACGCCAGCCTCATGTCATGCATCCAGCCATTTATCGACGGAACAGACGCAAAAAAACGGGCTGCCATCCAACCTCCCCAAAAAAAATGGGAGCGTCATACGTCACACCGTCCAATGGGGAATTTGATTTTCGTTTTCTTCGTCCCACCTCTCCCCTCCCCAGCATCGAGCTGGCGTCACAGATCAAGGCGTTCAACGAGGCCTCCTACTTCTCCTCTGCCTCCATCGTCTCTCTCTGCATCTTCGCCACCTACACTCTGAAGGGAGGGCACCTGCGCCTCTCCACCGTCTTCTATGTCATCTCACTCGTGCAGGTGAGCGCGTGCAGGTGAGCTCTGATCTGGCTATATATTGGAAAATCTCAGGCGCCTAGAAAAAGGGCGGTCTAGGAAGGGCCTGAAGTGAGCCAGTTTTAGCATTTGGAATTCTCAAGAAGCACTTGCAGCCGTCCTTGGTCGGTCGTGTACGTCATCTCGCTCATGCATACCTTGGGTTGGGGGGTTTCATCTGCTTGTGGTGTGACAAAGCACTTTACTCTCCTCCTCCTCCTGCCCCCCCTCCCCAGCTCCCACGCCTGTGGGTGTGTGTTTTGAGACATCTCAAACCCCACAGCTGTGGACGTGTGTGGCCCTCTCAGCAGCCAGAGGGCGCGAGAGAAGAAGAGGCTTATGTGAGCACCTCGCTCTCCCTGATCTCCTCCCCGATCCGTCCACATTCCCCTCTTCCCCTTTTTCCAGCTGCCGCGGCTGTGGATGTGTGTGTTCCTGCCACGCGGCATCGAGCGAGTTGCGGAGGCTGCTGTTAGCTTCGCCAGGCTTGACGCTTTCATGCGGGTGAGAGCGAGGGGTGGGTGAGTTGGGTATGGGCATGGTTGAAAGGGCATGGATGAAAGGGCATGGTGAAAAGGGCATGGGTAAAATGGCATGGGTGAAAGGGCATGGGTGGAAGGGCATGGGAAAGCATGGATGGAAGGACATGGGGTGAAAGGGCATGGATGAAAGGGCTTGGGTGGAAGGGTATGGGTGTTAGGGCATGGGTGTAAGTGTAAGGGCATGGGTGTAAGGGCATGGATGTAAAGTCGTGGCTGCTAGGGCATAAGTGTAAGGACAAGGGCAAGTGGGCAAGGCCAAGGGCGTAAGGGCAAGGTTATGAGCATGGGACATGGTCATTTGGGCGCATGGGAAAGGATTATGACGGATTATGACGCGCGCGTGTGTGTGTGTGTGTGTGTGTGTGTGTGTGTGTGTGTGTGTGTGTGTGTGTGTGTGTGTGTGTGTGTGTGTGTGTGTGTGTGTGTGTGTGTGTGTGTGTGTGTGTGTGTGTGTGTGTGTGTGTGTGTGTGTGTGTGTGTGTGTGTGTGTGTGTGTGTGTGTGTGTGTGTGTGTGTGTGTGTGTGTGTGTGTGTGTGTGTGTGTGTGTGTGTGTGTGTGTGTGTGTGTGTGTTTGGTATGTGCGTATTGTATTCTGCCACCATCACTACCACCATCCCCCTTGCTGCAACCATGTTTGCCATGTGCCGAGCACGGCCATAAGCTTTGGACGAGACGAGTTGTACTCGACTCATTTTGGATTACCTCTATCAAGTATCGAGGTGAGCCGCATAAAACTTGAATCGAGTTGTTTTCCCATCTGCCCCACCATCTGCGCTCCCCCCTCCCGCTTCCCCCCGCACAGGGTGTCGAAGCTGGGATTTCCCTGTTCATACGTGCACCTTCTCCTTCCTTTCTGCACTGTCCGCTTATTCTCCCTCCGGCTTGCATTGCCCATATCAGCTATCGAGCAGCAGCAGCAGCATAAAGGAGGTATCAGTTTTGGTATCATCTCCTAGTGACAAGGACACAAGCCCCAGACGGGGAAAGGGAGATGAGGGAGCGATAGGTAAGGTGATGCAAGCACAGGAGGGCACGGAGGGCTGAATAGCACCACATCTCTCTACAGCATCTGCTCCTCTTCCTCCTGCTTCTCTTCCAATTCATCCTCCTGCTGCTGTTCTTCCTGATGCTGCTTCCGTCTCTCCTCCTGCTGCTGATACTGCTGATGAGGGCACGGAGCAGGTGCAGGGAGGGAGGGTGAGTGTGTGCGAAATGGTGAACGCCTCGTTTAAATGGAGAGCGGGCGCTGCAGGGAGGGAGGCGGCAAGGGGCAATGGGGTGAGCAAGGAGCCGTGCATGGATGACAGTAGTGGCAGTGGGACGGGGGACTTGAATGTGAAGATGAACGGGGATATGAATGGGGATATGAGTGGGGATATGAATGGGGATATGAGTGGGGAGATGAATGGGGATATGAGTGGGGAGATGAATGGGGAGATGAACGGGCTTGGAGTTGGCGATGCTGGTGGTGGCAGCTACACGGATGAGGGGAGGACGGGAAGGAGGATGGGGAGATGGGAGAGGGAGCGGGAGGAGGAGCAGGAGTGGGAGGAGGAAGAGGAGGTGGTGGCAGTGGAGGGTGTGAGCTTCAGTTTGGGAGAGGGCGAGCTGCTGGGCGTCACAGGGAAGGTGAGCCCTAGGCGCGGGAAGCAAGGCCTTTTGAGGGGAGTAAAAGAGAGGCAGGAAGAAAGGGAGGTGAAGTGAGGAGGACGAGAGGGTGGCCGTGCCAACAAAGAGAGAAAAGTCTTATGTCTTTTGAGCTGTATGCGTTTCGTGCCTTCCGGTTATCCTGTTTTTCCTAAAGAACTCCTATTGTTCCTCATTTTTATCTTTCCTTTATTTGGACCTCCGTTCTGTAATATTCAATATTTTGGGTTTTGAGATGCCTCCAACCTCATTTTGTGTTTTCTTCTTTCTCTCTCTCTCCTTTCCTGTATGCTACGTCCGGACCTTATGATTTTCTCGCAATACTCCTCTAGCGTGTCTTGGAGGATTCAGTACTTAGAAGCTTTTCCTTCACCTCCTTGGCCACTCTGCTTACTTTAATAAGAAGATATTACTTCCCTGCCGGCACATTTTCTATCGCTCCCTGCCCCTTGTTTCTTTCCCTCTTTGTTTGAGCAGGTGGGAGCGGGCAAGTCGACTCTGCTGGCGGGTATACTAGGCGATGCAGAGCTGCTGAGGGGAGAGCTGGTGTGTCGAGCAGACAAGATCGCGTACGCAGCACAGAAGGTGGGACCGTGAGAACAAGTCTGGCGCATGGTGCACGAGCATGCTTATAAGTGGGAGCGGGCAAGTCCACGCTGTTGGCAGAAATTCTAGGCGACTCAAAGCTGTTCGGGGAAGAAGATTCGCGTATGCATCACAGAAGGTGGGACCCTGAGCGTGGTGTATGAGAATGTTGCGGCTCTGTGGGCCATTCTTAGTGCGCGTCGTGCTTGTGTGTGGAGACGTTTTGAATTGGTTGAGGTTTGAGATGTCTCGCTAGCGTATGCTGCACAGAAGTTGGGGCAAATATCAACGTGTGGGGGGACTTGTGCTGCATGGAACCAGAAGGCCTACTCGAGGTTCATGCTAGCTTTCGTTTCATTTATGCAGCATGCATGTACATACACACATGCACGCATGCACGCACGACCATCGCAAGCACATAGCCGCGCGTGTGTGTGTGTGGGTGTGTATGAACCCTTGCACCACACCGCTGTTCTGCAATCTGTGTAGCTGTTACCATCCCCCCGTCGAGTTTTGAGATGTCTCCAGACAAGGTTTGGTGGCGTCCGTGTGTCAACGTGACAACACGATTTTGATGTTATGTGTGCCTTCTGTCTGTATGGTACTGGTGTGCTGTGCTATGGCGCACAGCCGTTCATCATGGCCGGCTCACTGAAGGACAACATCATCTTTGGCCATCCATTCGAGCCAGGGCTCTACAATCAGGTATCCAACACATCCCTCCGTACCATACCCTCTCCTCTTCTCCAATATATGTTCCTTTCTCTTTATATACTCCTCTCTTCCCTCCCATACTTATTCCTCCTCTTCCTCTCGTTCTCCGCCCTCCCGCACTCCTCTTCCCTCGCTTTGACAATCATACCATTCGTGAGCGAACCATACCATTCACGAGTCAACCAGAAAGAGCGTTTCTTCAAGCCATTTCTTCCCACTTTTCCTCCCCTGCCTCCCCTCTCTCCTCTCCCTGCCATGACGCTCTTGCAAGATACACCCGTGCATCCTTCGCCCAAGTCACATGCACTACTCCTTCGCCCACTCTCCGCAGACACACACCCCCCGCAACCACACCCAACCCCCACCCCCGTCCCCCACCCCTCAGGTGCTCGACGCCTGTGCGCTGCGCCAGGACATTGCCAGCTGGCCCCACCGCGACCTCACGGAGATTGGCGAGCGCGGAGTAAACCTGAGTGGCGGGCAGAGGGCGAGAGTGGGGCTGGCGCGGGCGGCATACGCCAGCGACGCGGCTCTTGTGCTGCTGGACGACCCGCTGTCAGCTGTCGACCCACCTGTGGGGCGCCACCTGTTTGAGCGCTGCATTCAAGGGGTGATGCACGGGCGCCCACGGATTCTTGTCACGCACCAGCTGCAGTACCTGCCAAGGTGAGCGGTGGGGAAGGGTGGGGATAATTGGAGTATCCACCAGGGTATGGTAGTTGCATGTGCGGGCTCACTTGAGGCCGTGTGGTGGCTTGGCTCGTAAGCCCTGAGCACTGTTGCAGCGCACCAGCTGCATTAGTTTGCGCACTCTAGAAGAACTGCTGCTACCGTGGCGTGGATGCGTCCAGCATCTGTATGCTAGCGTCCAGGCGCTGGATGCCTCTTCTCTAAAAAAAAACCCCGTGTGGACGCTGTCCCGACCCTCTTCCCCTTCCCCTTCTGCTCTTCCCCCAAATCCCCCAACCCCCTTTTCTCTCCACTCAACCCCCTCACACCCAACCTTTCCCATCCTCCCCCCCAGCTGTGATCGAGTGTTAGTGCTGGACGGGGGAAGGCCAGCGGCCTTGGGACCCTATGCTGCGCTGGCCACACAGGTGGACTTCCAGGGGCTCCTGGGGGGAGACGAGGCAGAAGGAGAGGTATTGGGAGCAGGAGAGAAGGCTATTGGTGCTGTGGAGAGGGGAGAGGGCAGGGAACGGAGGGAGGAAGGAGGAGGAGGAGGAGGAGGAGGAGGAGGAGGAGGAGGAGGAGGAGGAGGAGGAGGAGGAGGAGGAGGAGGAGGAGGAGGAGGAGGAGGAGGAGGAGGAGGAGGAGGAGGAGGAGGAGGTGCAGGAGGAGGAGGAGCAGGAGCAGGGGAGAAGGAACGAGTGGGGGAAAATGGGGCGAAGTTGCAGCATCAGTGCTGGTTTACAGCTGGAGAGGATAGTGATGATGATGAAAGCTCTGCTGATGATGATGGTGATGTGAAGGGGTCAATAGGGAGTAATGACATGTCTGAAGACGACTGGATGTCGTCAGTCACTGGTAGTGACGTCGTGACCACCTCAGCAGCAGCAGCAGCAGCAGCAGCAGCAGCAGCAAGTGACAACACCCTGCATACATCCACTGCCGCTCCCTCCGATTGTGACGACCCAACCTTCCACGCGCTGCCCCTGCGGCCCACCCCACGCAGTATGCCCCTGCGGCCCACCCCACGCAGTATGCCCCTGCAGGACCGGCCGCTAGGCCACAGCAGAGGCAGCGGGGAATTGCCTCTCAGTTGCAGCATCATGGGAAGCTTCGTGGACAGGGTATCAGGGGAGACCAGGGGGGCGGAGCGTGGGGGCGATGGGGAGAAGGTGGGTGGAGAGGCGGGGGCAGGAGGGGATGGGAAGGGGGAAAGGGGCGGTGAGGAGGCAGAGGAGGATGGAGCCGCACAAAGTGGGCTGCTGGGCTTGTTGACGAGGGAGTGACGTGGGTGAGAGAGGAGCGTGTGGGTATGGTGATTACGATGAAAAGATGACTCTTTTCACACAAGTAATCCTGCCAGTGTTTCTCAAACCGTCACGAACCCTGAACTAACATGCTATCCCCTCATCACATTCCGCGTTAATTTCCTCCCCATCTTTTTCTCCTCGTTTCCCTCCCTCTCTTTCCCAATGCTTCCTCGCCTTCTCCCCTCTGTGGCGACCAGGGTTGGTGCAGAAGGAGCGGAGGGAGGAGGGGAGGGTGAGTGCGGGCGTGTACTTGGAATACGCCAGGAGGGTGGGCATGTGGCAGTCGCTTCTGCTCTTCCTCCTCCTCGCCTTTGGTCAACCCTCGCCTGTGCTAGCGACTGGTCAGTCCCTTCTCTCTGCTCTCCCTGCTCTCTCTCCTCATCTGCATCGTAGGCGGGTCCCATTTCCCATCCTCCATGCCGCATGTCCCATCCCAGTCCCCATGCATCTCCTCCCATGCCTCATGTCTCCCATGCCTCATCTCCCATGCCTCATGTCTCCCATGCCTCATCTCCCATGCCTCATCTCCCATGCCTCATCTCCCATGCCTCATCTCCCATGCCTCATCTCCCATGCCTCATCTCCCATGCCTCATGTCTCCCATGCCTCATCTCCCATGCCTCATCTCCCATGCCTCATCTCCCATGCCTCATCTCCCATGACTCATGTCTCCCATGCCTCACAGGTTCCTCGCCTGCTGGTCACAGGAGAAGCACCAGTCCAGCCCATACCGCCGCATCTACACCACACTTGTGCTCACCAGCGTCGCCGTCTCCTTCCTGCGTTCGTCCCTCGCCTTCCACTGCTGTGTGCGTGCTGCCTCGCGCGTGCACTCCGCCATGCTGGCCGCTGTGCTCGCCTCGCCGCTCGCCTTCTTCCACGGCAACCCCATGGGGCGCATGCTCAACCGCTTCTCCGCCGACCAGGGCATTCTCGACGACCTCCTGTCCTTCACCCTCTTCAACTACCTGCAGGTGCCGCTCATGTGGCTTGTCATGTCGACTGTGGGGACGGGTGCAGTGCTGTGTGGGTGGTGGGGGTTCCTTCTGAGTCGAGTTAGAAGTAGCGCTGTCGGCCACGAGCTCACTGGGCTTTTGAGTTGACTCAAGTCCTTTCTCCCCCTCTCCCCCTTTGCACACAAACAGACACTGAGTGTGGCAGTGGGCGCCGTAGTAATGGTGACGGTGGGCATGCCGTGCATCCTCATCCCCATGGCGCTGCTCTGCCTGCTCTTCCTGCGCCTGCGCCACATCTTCCGCTGCACCTCCCGCGAGGCCAAGCGAATCGAGGCCGTCACGCGCAGCCCTGTGTACGCGCACTATGCCGCCACCATCCAGGTGGGTCTGCACGCAAGCACAATACAGGTTTGCAGGCAACAGTCACCCCATCCCCGATGAGAGCGTTGGGGGAGCAACAGCAACAGCAGTTCAGGGCAAACTTCCACCGCCTGCTCATACCCCGACAGGACACTGCCAGCGCCTGCTGTGTGCTGCTCGCCCCCTCTCGCTCCCACGCCTCATCTGAGATGCACAAGTGGACCTCCCTCCTCTCTGCCCCTTCCCCCTCCTCCCATGCCAGGGCGTGGCAACCATGAGGGCGTTGGGCGCACAGCAGCAGTGAAGCGCCGTGTGTCATCGCCAGGTCAACGCACCAATGGCTATGCCTCCTACTGCTGCCTTGCCGCCTCGCACTGTCTGGCTCTCTCACCCCCTGTTATGCCATCCCTCTCATCCCCCATTCCCCCATCCCCTCCCACAGGGCCTGGCAACAATAAGAGCGTTCGGCATGCAGCAGCAGTCAAGCGCCGCCTTCCACCGGCTGCTGGACGGCAACGGGCGCGCCTTCTACTGCTGGCTGGTGGCCTCGCACTGGCTGGCGGTGCGCCTGGACGCCCTCGTGTCGCTCGTCATGCTCCTCGTTGCCGCCCTCGCCATGGCACTCAGAACGGCCTTGCCGCCCGGCCTGGTGGCGCTGGCGCTGACCTACGCGCTGCAGATGTCGGGGTCGCTGCAGTGGGCCGTCAGGCAAGGCGCGGAGGTGGAGAACATGGTGAGGTGGAAAACATGGTGAGGTGGAAAACATGGTGAGGTGGGGAACATGGTGAGGTGGAAAACATGGTGAGGTGGGGAACATGGTGAGGTGGAGAACATGGTGAGGTGGAAAACATGGTGAGGTGGAAAACATGGTGAGGTGGAAAACATGGTGAGGTGGAAAACATGGTGAGGTGGAAAACATGAAGAGGTGGGGAACATGGTGAGGTGGAAAACATGGTGAGGTGGGGAACATGGTGAGGTGGAAAACATGGTGAGGTGGAAAACATGGTGAGGTGGAAAACATGGTGAGGTGGAAAACATGGTGAGGTGGAAAACATGGTGAGGTGGGGAACATGGTGAGGTGGAAAACATGGTGAGGTGGGGAACATGGTGAGGTGGAAAACATGGTGAGGTGGGGAACATGGTTAGGTGGAAAACATGGTGAGGTGGGGAACATGGTGAGGTGGAAAACATGGTGAGGTGGGGAACATGGTGAGGTGGAAAACATGGTGAGGTGGGGAACATGGTGAGGTGGAAAACATGGTGAGGTGGGGAACATGGTGTGACACAGACAAACAGACTGCTTCCTGAAGTTCGTTCTTTCTGTGACCCTCTTGTGCATGAGGCATGCTGAGCGAGTCCCCACACTCTCCCTCGCCACCCATTCTCAGTCCGTCCTCCCCGGTTTCCACGTCACAGGCGTCGGGCATTCCAACTCCGGCACATGCACAAGCCCTCATGCATCCCGTGTGACTCGTATTTAAACATGAGATCCACCGTTCCTTCTTTTTCTCCCCATCGTTTTGCTCTCTCCTCAGTTTACAGGTGTCGAGCGAGCTCTGGAATACACACACCTACCGCAGGAGGAGGGGCCTGAGGAGAGGCGGAGGGACGGAGAGGCAGGAGGTGGCAAAACGGGCAGGAAAGCAGGTAGCAAGAGGAAATGGAAAGGGGGATTCTGCATGGTGGAGGAGGAGCAGAGGGAGGAGGGGGGCGAGCAGGGGAGAGGTGAAGAGCAGGCGGAGGGGCAGGTGCCGGCAGATCGGCCAAGCAAGGGGGCAGTGAGGGTGGAGGAGCTGACGGTGCGGTATAGACCCACGCTGGACCCTGTGTTGTGGGATGTGAGCTTCCAGCTGCATGGAGGGGAGAAGTGCGGCATTGTGGGGCGAACTGGTGAGTGCTGCTCTTCGTGCTCGATAGCCACTGATGGTGCTGTGTGGTGTCATTGCCACTTCCAGGAAACGGTGTGGTGAGTCACGTAACACTGCAATGGAGCGAGCTCTGTTGGACTACACTGGTGCCCATGTCGCCCCCTCCTACCCTCTTCTTACATCAATATTGTCCACCCCTTCCCCCCCTCGGCCTACCTCCACTTTGTCTCCACCATCAGGTGCAGGCAAGTCGACGCTCATGCTGGCGCTGCTGCGCCTGGTGCAGCTGTGTGGAGGGCGCATCCTTATAGACAGCCTCGACACCACCACCATCCCTCTCACTACCCTGCGCAGAAACGTGCGTGTGCTTGCACCCTCTTTGCTGGTGCCTCTCACCACACCACACCACACCACACCACACCACGCCACTCCCACGGTTGCTTTCAATTGACTCCACCATCGTTCGCACGGATGTGCCTGACGTGGAATGTGACGTGCCTCCGTTACGTTCGCGAGCAGTTTAAATCTCTCGAGAAGTGATTTGCAAATTGGCTCCATCTTGGTTGGCTCAATCTAGGTTGGCTCAATCTAGGTTAGCATCACCTTTCCCTCTAGCAACCTCTCAATTCCCCCATAATCCCTTGCACCACCCTTTTCTTCGTTTCTGTTATCTCATATTTTAACAAATCACTGCGTCGTTCAACTCCATCTGCCAACGTTCCCCACCTTCATTTCATTCCTTGCTTCCATTCCTGCTTCCTTCCTTCCTTCCTTCCTTCCTTCCTTCCTTCCTTCCTTCCTTCCTTCCTTCCTTCCTTCCTTCCTTCCTTCCTTCCTTCCTTCCTTCCTTCCTTCCTTCCTTCCTTCCTTCCTTCCTTCCTTCCTTCCTTCCTTCCTTCCTTCCTTCCTTCCTTCCTTCCTTCCTTCCTTCCTTCCTTCCTTCCTTCCTTCCTTCCTTCCTTCCTTCCTTCCTTCCTTCCTTCCTTCCTTCCTTCCTTCCTTCCTTCCTTCCTTCCTTCCTTCCTTCCTTCCTTCCTTCCTTCCTTCCTTCCTTCCTTCCTTCCTTCCTTCCTTCCTTCCTTCCTTCCTTCCTTCCTTCCTTCCTTCCTTCCTTCCTTCCTTCCTTCCTTCCTTCTACTTCTTTACCAACTTACTTTATTGCTTTACTTCCTATCCTCCTTGCTTCCTCCCATCCTTCCTTGGTTATTTATATTGCCTATTTACTACCATCTCTCCATCTGCACATTCAACAGGTCACGGCAATACCGCAGGATCCCGTTCTCTTTGGCAGCTCTCTCCGATTCTACCTCGACCCATTCAAGTGCGTCCCAGTCTTCCTGCAAGCCACCCCATTCTTGTATCTCTGCGCAGTCGTATGCCAGGGTCCTCTTCTGCTCTTCTCGTTGTCAACAATGCGCTTTGTCAGATCTAGGCCATCCAGATGAAGCCTTCTCCAGTCAGCACTCACATGTGGCGCCATGGGTAGGTCGCAGTGGAGGGAAGGGGTGCGGCGGCTGAGAGGCAAGCCTGGGGCCCTGCAGGGAAGGCATGTGAGCTGACTCAAGGGTTACCTCTTGGCCTCCACAAGGGGCTGTTGTGAGCCCTTTGCACTGCTGCTCAGAAGACCCTGCCCCGCTCTCCCCCATCTCACACCCAATTTTCCACCCTTGTACTTCCATCCTCCCTCCTCAGCACGCGGACGCAGCTCTATGGGAGACGCCAGACGTAGTGCAGCTAAAGGACAAGGGGGGGAAAGGGGTCCCTCTGCAAAGGGGGCTGTCTCGCCTTTCTGTATTGTTTGCTCACGCACAGCCAACTGCCTATCCCCGAACCCTGAACCTCTAACAAACCCCTCTCAGTGAGCACCCAGACGCAGCACTATGGGAGGCGCTAGGTGCATTGCAGCTGAAGGGGAGGGCGGGCGCGGTGCACGGGGGCCTGGAGGCGAGCATGAGTGAGTTCGGAGACAACTTCTCCGTCGGCCAACGCCAGCTGCTCTGCCTCGCACGGTGGGTCCCTGGGCTGCTGTGCTGCTGTGCACTGCTGAAGGTGGCTTAGATTGGGGGCATCGGGAAATGCTTCTCTGTGGGGCGTGAGAGGTGATGTGTGTGCCCATGCATGTAAGACTTCCCACTGGCAACATCTCATCCCAAGCCCCTCCCTCCACCTCCCTCCTTTCGCCCCCCTTCTCCTCTTCCCTACTGTGAGGGACAGAATGCAATCTCAAGCTTGCACTTGTACTTTTCATATCCTAGTTTAGCATTGAAGTAGTTCCGTGTGTTACACGAAAAAAACCTACCACATTAGCATTTCACTGAGGATTTTCCGAGAATCCGTTTCTATCTTTTCCTACTTACTCTTAATCTACCTAATAGCCTTGAGTTCCATTACTTAATCAATCATTTCAGCTCAAGCTCTTACACTAACCCCAGCCAGTGTGTAAGCCCAACACCCAAACTCTCTGCTCTGACCTGTGTATTCTGCCAAGCATAGTAGCCAACCGTGATGCGACCTCTGAAACCTCCTACATCCCCGCTTTCCTCCTCCCTCACCTTCCTCCCCTCCCCCGTCCCCCTCTCCCTTACCCTATCACAACGCCGTGCTGCACGGCAGTCGCGTTGTGCTGATGGACGAGGCGACGGCGAACGTCGACAGGGCGACAGACGCGGTCATCCAGAGCACCATGCACCGCCACTTCACCGCCAGCACCGTCATCACCATCGCGCACCGCCTGCACACCATCGTCGACGCCGACAAGGTGGGAATCACTGCCATGGCGTTTGCAGAGAGAGGAGAGGTGGGCAGATGAGGGGGGAAATGAGGGGTAAGGAGCGAAATGGGTGGGGGTGGTGCGACGGGGTTCAGGGCCGGGTAAAAGCTCGCTTCTGCTCGCACTGATGTTGGCACGCCCTACAGATGACGACATGCGGTGCATAAGCATGTCCTGGCATGCCCATGCTTGGGGTTGCCCTCCTCTGGTCTCTCCAGGTGCTGGTGCTGGAGCAGGGCCGCGTGGTGCAGTTTGGGGCGCCACAGCAGCTGGCGGAAGACCCCGAGGGCCCCTTCTCCCGCATGCTCTCCCACACTGGCCCGTCTGCAGAGGCCTCTCTGCGCTCTGCCCTTGCGAGAAATGGCTTCATGCGAGAGGCTTCACTAAGAGATGCCTCGTTACAAGAAGCTTCCCCCGGAGAAGCTTTGGAAAGCGAGGAAGGGACAAAAGGGGAGGCTGTGAGTATTGATCTGTTGCATTTGCAGGTTGATGGTTTCCATGGTGGGGAGTTAGCTGCTGATGGTAGTGCCAGTGAGGGTGGTTTGCCTGCTGCTGCCAGTAGTACTGAGGAAGGTATTGCCCGGATACACGGCCGCGTGTTACAAGAGATGATTCTTGAAAGCAATACTCAAGATACACTTCGATTGTCTTAACGAGTATGCAATCTGGTGGGCTGAGAAATATAGCTGAAGTCTAACCCAAGACCACTGCTAGGATTGTACAACACTCACAGGTGGGTTCGCACGGTGCCTACGGTAACCACACCTCTTCTTCTCCACGCATGTGTTTACTCTGGACCAGTCCAAGAAAAGCCTAGCGGAAAACATACCGTTTGCCTTACCCTCCTCTCCCATCCCCCTCCTTTTCCCCCTCCATCTCGAGCATATTAGCAAGGAAAGTATCCTCTTCAGAGCACTCCTCTAGACAATTCAGGGCAAAACATACTAAAACGGCTCGGCACGTCCTTTACACAACTTGAAATTGCAGGGTGGAGACCAGCACTGTCCTGGCATAACCCCTAGACAAACCATGAATATGAGTCCTCAACCCTGCTATCAATCGGATCGGCCTATTGAACCGATTAGATGTTGTGCATATACGGTAATTGTGCGGCTGATCCCAACAATTTGCATTGCGGTAACAAATTTGCGCGCGGGCTAGACGGTTGCAGGCTGTCATGATGTCAAACTACCGTATGTTCATTATATATTGGTTAGGCTACAGTGAGTTGCACCTTAGGCAAACTATGCTGATTGACAAAGGCACACCAAACAGTTACCTACAAACACAGGCTACGTTCCTACCTCGCGTCAACCACCGCATATGGGACTCAACACAGCCAGTCACTGATAAAGGGTGGCTTGATACGAGGCAGGAACGCACCCTTTGGCACGCCAGCAAAATTTATAACAGTCATGTGACAACATGCAGCCATAATCACCCTCCCATGTGTCTGACTTGCAGTCTCGTCACACGTGACGACGCGTGTCAGCTGGCATGGCGTTGAGCTCCCACGGTGGCAAGCGACAGTGGTGGGGCGGTGGTGTCACTGGGACTATGCTGCCTGCACTGCTGCCAGGGATGAGTAGTCGTATTGCTCTGGCGTGGGGGGGAAGGGGAAGCATGAGCAGACATGTGAGAGAAGAGAGCAGAGCAGAGCGGAAGAGAGCAGAGCAGAGCGGAAAAGAGCAAAGGAGAGCAGAGGGGAGGACAAGTGAGGAGAGGAGAAGAGACGAAACAAGGTTCAGGGGTAAAGAAAGTGGCACGTGGGTGGCAAGCTACCAGTCGAAAACGTTCACACACCTTGCCACTCACAGCCCTTGCCACTCACAGCCCTTGCCACTCACACCCCTTGCCACTCACACCCCTCGCCACTGCCATGCGCTGGCACTCACTGGTGGCCTGACTGCAGGAGGCGGAGCCCACGTTGCCCCAGTCAGAGGAGTCAACGCAGCCCTTGAGGCACGCCACGGTGTAGGGCGCCGTGCTGCTGGCGTGGTAGTGGTAGAACACCGGCTCGCCCCCACTGCCGTCGCCCACGTGCCCCCCGCACTCGTCCACCCCCGACGGCAGCTCCCCCCCTGCTCCGCGCGGGCCGTAGAGGGGAATGCCGTCCGCCAGGAAGCCCAGCAGCGGGGAGTGCTCGCCAGGGGTGTCCTTCCAGAAAGAGGCGCTGTGACGGGTGTGCAAGGGAGGAGAGAGGGACGAGGGGGTGGGTTGGGTGGGTGGGACGCAAGGGATGGTGCATGGCACGTGGTATGACTTGGTGCGCGGCATGGTGTGTGGGGAGGATGCATGAAAATGGCATGGTTATGCATGGTATGAGGCAGTGTCGGATGATAGAAAAGCCGGCTCGAAGCACGGTTTAGCATGCGGAAAGGTGCGGACGACTGGCAGCAGCATGTGACTGGCAGAGGGGCGGGCGTGGAGGCATGGGGCGGTGTAGGAACCTGCAGAGGTGGAAGTTGGTGGTGCGAGAGGCGGAGATGGCAGAGGGGTTGGCGACGCCAGGAGCGACGTGGTAGTGGTACTGGCCGAAGGGCGACGGGTGCTGGCCGAAGGGCGACGGGTGCCCCCCACACGTTAGAAGGTGAGGAGTATGGCAGGCAGAGGGACTCGGCGCACCTCTTGCCATTGCTGCTCGTGAGCTTGGCACTCCTGCTGCTGCTGCTGTTGCCACACGCACTCCCACCCGATGACCCGCCGCCCATGCCTCCGCCGCCCATGCCTCCTCCGCCCATGCCTCCTCCGCCCATGCCTCCTCCGCCCATGCCCCCTCCGCCCATGCCTCCTCCGCCCATGCCCCCTCCGCCCATGCCTCCTCCGCCCATGCCCCCTCCGCCCATGCCTCCTCCGCCCACGCCTCCTCCCCCCGTGCCTGCTCCGCCCATGCCTGGTCCGCCCATGCCTGGTCCGCCCATGCCTGGTCCGCCCATGCCCCCTCCGCCCATGCCTCCTCCGCCCATGCCTCCTCCGCCCATGCCTCCTCCAACCATGCCTGGTCCGCCCATCCCTGGTCCGCCCATGCCTCCCCCGCCCATGCCTCCTCCCCCCGTGCCTGCTCCGCCCGTGCCTGGTCCGCCCATGCCTCCTCCGCCCGTGCTTCCCCCGCCCATGCCTCCTCCGCCCATGCCTCCTCCGCCCATGCCTCCTCCCCCCGTGCCTGCTCCGCCCATCCCTGGTCCGCCCATCCCTGGTCCGCCCATCCCTGGTCCGCTCGTGCCTCCTCCGCCGATGTCTCCTCCGCCCGTGCTACCCAGTTGTCCGCTTATTCCGCCACCTCCTTGCAAGCCAAACCCGCCCTGCCCGTTCTGCCCACCGCTCGTCGCGCCACTTCCGCCGCCGCCGCCCGTGCCGGGGGGGCGGAAGTAGGACCAGATGCCGCCTGTCCCCGATCCCCCCACCAAACCGCCGAGCCTTCCCCCGAAACGCGGAAGGCCGAAGGAGCGCGCGTTGCACTCGGCCTGATGGACGCGCGCGAAGCACAGCAGCGCAACGAGCGAGGCGGGACGAGGCGCGGAGAGGTGCCATCATGGCGGGCGGCGCGTAACGCTGAAAGATTCGCGCTAACTTAGAAACGGCTCAGCGGAGTGTTGCAGATGCAACAATCGATCCTTATTTCAACCCAAACGACGAGCGAAGCGAATGCAAAGAGGCGAGGCGATCGGGAGTGGCGGCAGGGAACGGGCGAAGAGCGGGCTGACGGCGATCTGACTTGGAGCCAATTAGGCGATGCTGCTGAAATGGCCGAGGGAGATCGACAGCCGCAGCGTAAAAGAGGCCTTGAGGCAGCGCTGCTGTGAAGACTGCGTCCTGCAAGCCCGCTATTTGTACTTCCGCTGCCATCGCCTCCGCTGCCGTTAGGAGAAATCGGTGCATTGCTTGACTATCGGATGACGAGGAGGATATGGGAGTCAACGCTAATCCAGTCAACGTGGAGGGGAGGAGGAGAAAAGGGTGGAATGTTGACTGTCGGTTGGGGGCGATCGAGTCAGCGTCCTGATAAAAGTGATTTTAGTGCATTTCACAACGACCCGATAAGCGGAATCTCAAGCTGTTTGCCGCACACCAATAACGTTACAGAAGAAAAATATGATTCCCTATTAATGACAACCGGTTTAATTCTCTATTAAATATAATTCTCTAGTAATGACCTAGGGATTGAGTAAAAAGATGTACAAATGCTACGATCAGGAGGTGATCGCTACCAGGATCTACTCGGGAATGTTTGCACGTACGTAGATAGTGTTGGTGGGCCCTTGACCTCAATAGCAGAGTGAATGTAAAATGCTTGAGATGAATTAAAACATGCAAATACAGCAAATATAAATATGAGTACAGGGAAGACGAAACGACCTAGCTAGCCATGTACTCTAAGGGGTACATTCCCTTATTCAAATACATTCCTTACCGTGCGGTGCGTACAGTTACGAAACTGTTCCCGCCCTTTTCCTCCTGCCTGCAGCTGCCGACCGATGCCGTTTGCTTCTGACGATCCAGATCCACCCCAACTGTCTGACGCTTCGAGTCTTTTCTGACTCTTCGGATTCATTCTCGTTACTGCGTATTTCCTTAGCTGCTATGAGGGGTGCACAGTAATGTTCAGACATTACTATTCGTAACACCCCCCTTCACTCCTGGTCGTAGCTCGACTTGACCTGCTTGACCACGCCGCTGAGTTCGGAGCAGTGCTGATACTGCTGGCATGACAGTCGCTTCGTGAGAAAGTCTGCTGCCATGTCACCGGTCGGGCAATAGGTCAAGTCAACCTTGCCTTTGTCCACTTCGTCCTTCACGAAGAAATACCGCAGCGCAATGTGCTTGGTGCGGTTGACGAAGCCAGGTTTGTTCGCGATGCGAATCGCGCTCTGGTTGTCGCAGTGAAGGCGAAAGGTGGGCGAAGCTGGAATTTTCGCCTCCTGCAGAAGTTCCTGCAAGTAGAGGCCTTCGCGAACTGCTGCGGTTGCTGCGATGAATTCCGCTTCGGCTGACGACAGGGCAACCAGCTCCTGCTTCTGAAAGTTCCAGGAGATTGGTCCCGTCGGTTCGAGTCGGAACAGGAAGCCAGTCTTGGACCGTCGATTGTCGGGATCAGCTGCGTGATCGGCGTCCACGTAGCCGATGAGGTTGAAGGATGGGGTTGGTGCAGTTGAGTAGCACAGCCCAATCTTGGGCGTTGAAACGAAGAACTGTAGGGCGCGCTGCAGGTCCAGAAGATTCTCAGCCGTTGGTTTGCGTGAGTACTGGGCCAGCTGACTTGCGATGTAGGAAAGGTCGGGCCTGCATGTGACGGAGGCAAAGAGCAGGCAGCCCAACTGCTGCTGATAAGTCCGGATGCCAGCGGGGGACAGGGCTTTGTTGTCAGGTTTGTGGTTCGGTCCGGGAGTTCGGTAGGGAGTGGAGAGTGGTGTAGGGGAGATGTTGAAGCGCTTTCCGAGCTCCTCTGCGTACTTAGCCGCTGAGTGGTGAATGTCCTTAGGAGATGTTGAGGCCTAAGAACTGCTTCACCTCGTAGTTGCATGTCATGTCGACGCACCCCGCCAGACTCTTCTCGAACTGCTTGAGTAACTCGTCGCTTGATCCCGTGTAGAGCAAGTCGTCGACGTAAACCGTGAGGAGGATGTATTCGCCCCGGAAGTCACGACAGTACATCCCTGGATCGTGCGGCATCTGCTTGAACCCGATTTCAAGCAGGATGTTGTGCAGATACTGCTGCCAGAGCCTCGGTGCTTGCTTTATCCCGTAAAGAGATTTGCGCAGCTGGCATACTCGCGAATCCTCTTCGCCGTATGTATGCGTCCACTAACGCGTACAGGAACGCGTTCTTCATGTTGATCTGGCGGAGAGGCAGGTGCCTTACTGCTGCGATGGCGAGCAGGATTCGGACGGAGGTGTGGCGACTGACTGGAGCAAACGTCTGTCGAAGTTAATGCCATGCCTCTGGTCATAGCCGCGAACCACCCAGCGTGCTTTAAAGCGCTCGATTGTTCCATCCGCTGCGGTCTTCATGCGGAAGACCCACTTGCCCGAAAGAACTCCTGCACCCTTGATTGCTGCGCGGTCGACTAACACCCAGGTGTCGCGAGGTTCGAGCGCCTTAATCTCCGCGTCCATCGCCTCTCGCCATTCTTTGCTGTGTCGTCGAGTGAGAGCTTGGCGCGGGTTTCGTGGCTCGATGACACGTGGCGCCTTCGAGGTTGCGGTGTGGAGCCCGAGCAGCTGCAGTCCTGAGACAGTGCTGTCGTGGCGACGTTGCGGGATGACTTCCTGCACGTCGTCGTCATCGCTCTCTGGTTCAGGTGGTGCTGGTGGTGCTGCGCCTCTGCCGCTTCCGCCTGTTCCGCCCATTCCTCCTGCTCTAGGATTGCTGCAGCAGCTTCGTCTTCGGGCGTTGCGTAGCTGTGCCCGTCGTTCTCGTAGACGTGGTTCGCATTCCTCTGCCCGTCATCGCGGAACTGCTCGAGGAAGAGACGTTCGTAAAAGATTACGTCGTGAGCGTGGAAATATTCTGACTGAGGAGGTCCAGTACGATCCATGCTTTGTACTCGTGACTGATGCCGAGGTGAATTCCCCAGCGCGCGCGGCTGGCAAATTTGCCGATGGTTGATGTCGGCAGTCAGTATTGCACCATGCACCCCCACACGTGGAGCATGGATGTGTCCCCCTTGGTCCCGGTCCATTTGACGTGCGGGGACAGGTTGCCGGTGATTGCGGTGGTTGAAAGCAGGTTGTGCACCCGCACGGCGTGGTGCATCGCGTAGGTCCAGTAGATCGGCGGCAGCTTCGACTTCTTCATCAGCACTCGTACCTTCGTCATGAGTGTGCGGTTCGTCCGTTCGGCTACGCCCTGTTGCTGATGTGCGTAGGGGAGAGATATGTGGTGCTCAATCCCCTTTTGTGCCAGGTAATCGTGCATTTACTTGCTTCTGAATTCTGCAGCGCCGTCAAATTGCCAGATCTTCAGTTTCTTCCCGGACTGTCGCTGCGCGTGCGCCAGAAGGAGACGGAATACCTCGTAAGCTCTGTCGCGGGTCTCCACATTTGCGACCCATACGTAGCGCGTTTCGGCGTCGATGAAGGTAAGTGTGTATAGTTCGTCGTCAACTCTGCAATGCCCCATGTTCAGGAAGTCACTGTAGTTCTTGTGCAGCTTGGGGTAGCGGTTCGTTCCTGGCTCGAGCAGCGGGAACGGCTGGTGACTTAGTGCGGCTTTGGGGCAGACGGTGCAGTTGCGCGGATGTGTCGCGCCTCTCACTTCGGTGCCATCTGGGCGCAGGAGCGCTCCAGGAGCGAAGACGCCTGCGTCGATGCAGTTTTTCAGCGTCGCGCGTGAAGGGTGTCCGAGGCGCTGGTGCCAAAGTGCATCGTCAGCGCAAAAACCAGAGGTGCGAATGTAGCGTGCGTGTGCGTCTTCGGGGTTTTCATCAGGTACTTGGGCAGATTCTGCTGCAGCTTCTTCTTCTGTTGCTTCGTCTTCGTCGGTGCCGGTGGTGAGCATAAGCGCCAAGAACTCTTTGTCGCGGATTTCGGAGAGGGGAATGTTGGTCCCCGGGATAGTTCCAGGGACGAAGGTGGGTTCGCGTTGTGGAAATAACTCTAGCAATAGGAGCTTGACTACGGTGAAGGCACGTGTGTGAGAGCAATCTCTGCGTTCGTTCACTTAGTCGTTTCCTTGTGCGCACACTACTTGCTAGTTCACGAGGAGTTGGCAAGAGTTCCACTAGGAAAGCATAACAACAAAGGTTCAGAATGATAGCAACAACGTTGGCAACACAGACTACATCAGAGCTAGCTAGGCTGCTGGTCGACCTCCAGCGCAGCACGGTCGACCGCGTTCCAGCGCAGCAATGCTCGCACCGCTCCAGCGCTGCAGAGATGCGGTGCGCCAACGTTGCATGTCCACGGTGTGCCAGCGCTGCAGCAAGTCGGCTCCACAACGCCGCACCCCCAGGACAACGGTGCACCTGCTTCGTAGGTGCGCGGCTGGTTCACGTCCAACTCCCCATCACGTGCCCAGCGCGGACAGTCCGCCCGTGACGGCGCCCATCAGCCACGTCGACCTCGGGATACCACCCCCGAGGTCGTCCTCGCAGAAACCACCCCCGGCGACCTTCGCACACATCGCCCGGGTATCCCGGTCGACCGGGCAACCCCGCCTGGTCGTCCAGCCCAGTCGGACGCCGGCTACGCCAAGCCCGGCGTCCCCAGGTCGGCGTCCTGGCGTCGAGGACGGCGTCCACTCGCCCAGGACGCCGTCCAGGCGCCCAAGTCGGCGTCCAGACGCCCGGGACGCCGAGCAAGCGCCCAGGTCGGCGTCCAGCCTCCCCGGACGCCAAGGTGTCACCCAAGTCGGCGTCCAGGCGCCCGGGACGCCGAGCAGACTCCCAGCTCGGCGTCTAGCCTTCCAGGACGCCGAGTAGGCGCCCAGGACGCCCCACAGCACAATACCCTTGCAGTTGCCCCCGTGTCCACTGCTGTAGGTTGGCTGCGTCCCCTCGCACACCCGACCACGAGGTCGGCTCCGCCCAAGCGAGGACGGGGCCAAACACAACTCCCGTTGACACTCCCCTGCCGCGTTCACGCTTGGGCCCCCAGCCCACACGGCAGCACAGCTCGGAAGATAGCTCGGCGGCGTGCACCCAACACACAGCACGCCGGTCACCGCACCAGCCATGCAAGAGGGCATGGCACCTACTGCTGCACGTCGTTGTCGCCGTCGCCCACGTCGGCCAGACGCACTTGGCCAATCGCGACGAAGCACCGGTTGAAGGCCGGGTAGTGCAGCGCCTTCGTCAGGAAGTCCGCCGGCTGCTCGGTGGTCAGGATGTAGCTCAACGCAAACTTCCCGCGCCTCACCATGTGCTGCAGCCAGGCCTGTC